CTCTGGGGTTTCGGGGAAAAGTATACACACGGGAAAGTTCCCTCAAAGAACAGTGGACAATTGAAGACCAGCATTCAAGAGGAGAGCCTCAAGAGGTTCATTCTCAATGAGTGCCAAGAAAAGGGAATGGGGAAGAAGTGGGCTTCCAACACTCCACCTGAACCGCTGCTACAGGTTCAGCGACCTGTGAGGTCAGAGGGTACAATGACAGTGAGAAAACTAGCTCAGGTGTGTCTGAACTGCCTGTAAAATGGGTAACTGTGGATTCAGGGAAAGGAGAGCAATGGAGGCAATGAGAAACAACAGAAGAATGAATAAATGAGAGAGAAGCGCTTTGGAAAACACATGCTATGTCAAATTTGGGACCAGACTGCAATTCTACTTAGTTGTACTATTACAATGACCAGGTCACATGCTATTTTGAAGAAGTCAAGGATTGAGACCAGTCCACCAGCCAGAGTCACAGAGCCTGCCCTCCACCCACTACATATCCAGGGAGCCATAAACTATTTATTGCTTTGCGACCTGCCTTTTTAGCTCATCATAACACTTCTGAAATTCTTCCTTGTTGTTGCATATATTAGTCATTAGTTTCTTTTTATGGTTGAGTACTATTTATTATATGAATATCCCACAATTTGCCCATACCCACATTTGTGTCCTTCTACTTTCCATCTCCACCCCAACCGTCCCCTTCCTTGTCTCCTTAATGCTCTATGCACCATCTCATTGTCATTCTTTTTTACTTTGCCTTTGTTCTATCAAGTTTTCAGTATGGCAAAATGCAACTCATCGAATCTTGAAGGCATGAAAAATAGGGGAGTTAGCTATAATTTAGCTTTGGATAAAAGGAGTCCATGGGCCAGTTTTATAAAAACGCACAAAGAGGGGCACCTGGGTGGCTCAGTCAGTTAAGTGTTTGCCTTTGGCTAGGGTCATGATCCCAGGGCTCCCTGCTCAGGGGGGAGTCTGCTTCTTCCTCTCCCTCTGCCTACCGCTCCCCCTGCTTGTGCTCTCTCTCTCTGTCAAATAAATAAAATCTTTTTAAAAAAATGCACAGAGATGCAGGAAGGTAAAATAATAATTATTAAGACAGTCATGGCCCTAAGGGAGAGAATGTTGTGTTGTCAGAAGGCAGAGCATTATCTTTGTGCTTTAGTGGGAAAGAAGGTACATTCAAGGAAAGGTGAGATTAAGGAATTTAGGTTCTCAATTTTGGCTGCTCCTTACATTCACCTGAGGAGCTTTAAAAATGGTATCAAACCTTATTAGAAATTGAGACTTACTTGATCTGGGATGGAGCTTGGCCTTGAGAGTTTTAAATTCTGCACAGATGATTCTAACAAACAGCCAGGAATAAGAATTGCCTAACATTGCAGATAAACCAGCTACAAACTGTCCCAAAATGGGCATCTCCTTCACAGCAACATTGAAAATCAGGCCATTTATGCAATTTGCATTTGCCTGTCAGGAGTGATGGTTATAGAGTCTGGAACAAGGATCAGTGGAAAAGCAACAGATGAATCATGTCAGTTGTGTTTCCCACACAGATATCCTCCTTCTAGAGCCATGTTGCTTAAATTTTCCTGACCACAACCCACAATAAGAAACACATATCACACTGTGACTCCGTTCATACAACATGTAAAATAGTTAAAATTTTGCAAAATTATACTTACCCTTACTACATGCAATGCACTTTCATAATTTCCATACTAAGTTGATTTCCTGATCCACCCATGAGTTGAGAACATAGCTTGAAAAACATGGATTTAAAATGTTTTTTTTTAAGGCATATTTTAAAAGAGAAGTATTAGGTCTTACTGGCCTCTACAATTCTCTAAATAGGAATTAAAACATATAAAAACATTCTTATCAATATGCTATCCTTTATCCTGCCATAAGAAACTAAGAGGAAACCATTCTCTGATGAGTAATTCAGAGGACAATAGGAGAGAGAAATGGCTTAAAGTGCAACAGCTGAAGCTTTTCATGATATTCTTAGAATGTTCCTACAGTGTAATGAGATGCAAAGTCCCTTTGGAGAATAGTGATCTCCAGGTAAAAATGTGGTAGCCGTGGTTTAGCTAATTTGTTCGCCAATTCTGTTTTGCTTTCTCTGATGGTTCCTTTCTCTCCTGAACCTCTTCAGAAAAATAAGACTTTTGTGAAGCCTTATTTCTTGTCCCCACAAAGGTGGCCCATCAGTCTCTGATGACTGTTGGCTACTTCCAGATTGGAGCCTTTCATCTCTCTCCCACCAGATTCTCCTTTTTCACCAAATGGTTGTGTGTCCTTAGCTACTCCCTCAGCCTCCTCGAACCACGGTCCCCTATTCTGTGAACGATGGAACAGGACTTGATTCTGAAGGCACACTAGCTTTTACATTCTTGGGCTCTTCATTGACCCCTCTCCCTTCTCTTTAAATGGAAAGGGAAATCTAGTTAGGAGGTGTGTTCACTGTAAAATTTAACAGGCTGTTCATATATGTGCATATTCAAGATTAAGCACCCCTCTTCCTCCTGAAAAAGGGAGGAGGCCATCACTTTCTTTAGGAAAGAAGGGTCTGGAGAGTAAACTGGCAGCTGAGGAGGAGGTAGGAGAGATTTGGCTCTCCAGTCGGTAGAACTGAGCAGGGATATCACCAACTCCTGGTGGTGAGCCCTGAGTCCCGCATCCCAGGAGGGAACTTAGCCTCTGCTTCACTGGTCCTGCTTTCCCATTCCAGGCTGCTCCTCACCACGTCACCTGTCTTCTATGGACTCTCAATGTGTTCTTGGTCTTTAGGACCGCATGACTCTCACTCCAGCCATCCATCTGTAGGATAAAGACTAAAAGACTCCTGTTTAGGTTTCTTCCATTTTCTGTCTGCAAATCAAACCTCAGCGGATGCTGCCTTACACTCTAGTCCTGTGAATTCAGACTTCTAGAAGCCAGGCAACAAACAAACACAATCTTACTCTCTAAAGCATCAGGAAGTATGAGTCTGACATTCTCTCAACTTTTAGAGCTACCAATCTCATAAGCAGAATCTGGGCCTCATCTC